GAAGATGTTCAATTCTGTGCATGAACGGTGAGAGATCAAATTTTTAATTGCTAACCTGATCCACGGACGTTCACTTCAAAACACTCTACCCTGACGAGAAAAATAGCATGCATGAGTACTCGTGTACTCGAATTACGAGGGGAGTAAAAAAGTGAAAGACAATATTAGAATATTTTTGTTGTATAATTGTCAGCACTAACGAGTTCTGATATAATGCAGCCTAAGATGAGACAGTAACATGTTGCAAGTGTGGTTCAGCTGTTGTCAATATACGTCTATCTTAATGTAGTAAAACATACATCACAGACAATCAAACATTTTTTCAGACAAAAGTTTCAGGTGTTATTAAAGCTATATATTGTTATGTATTCATTCTTTGTCCGATGACTCGTCTTCAAGAAGATTGGTAAATGACGTTTGAGGTACGCGGACGATTGAAACAATTTCTTCCAGTACTAGTTTTGAAACGTAGAGCAGGAATTTGGAATAATCCTGTATATCGTTCCCAATAAAATTTCTAATTTGTTTATTCTTAACCAAAATTATTAAAGTCGAATACTTCCCTTTTATATAACCAGCACGCGAACTTACGCTAAATTAGATACATAGCAGGGATGGATCTTTGTAATGTTAAGACTTAGAAAATCCAAGAACATCAACCACGCCTAGCAATTCATATCTGTCAGAGCGACACTTTGCATGACAAATTAAGGAAACATTATTTCCAGTAGCTGTCTGTGAAGATGCTAATATCACGTTAGGCTAGAGTTACAAATTATTGAACCGAGAGATATGATTATTACAAAGTAAGCAGCCTGAGTTCTATCGCAAAATCTTTCCTTTATTTTAACATTATTCTTTTTGGTAGGGGATTGAAACCAATGATTTTTTGTGTGTGTGTGTGTGCGTACGTGTACATTTTCTGTTACTTATGGAATATTTTCGATTAATGAACTAACGGGCTGGGCTTAAAAGGATTTCATGTTTAATTTAATTTTTGCGTAGAAAGTTGCAACATCATATTCTTCCAATAATTCTCAGGTTTATTTTATTTTCTTAGCTGTGAAACATAAATGTTTTCTCGAAGAATAAGCTATCAATGAAATCATATCCTCTGCTTTTCCTCCACTTCCCGTCATAAATAGGTAATTTTATGCATGTACCGGCGTCAAAATCTCCTCTCCAGCCTCTTTTTAGTCTCCCTTCTTCTAATTATCAACAATAATTACAAGTGATATTCTAATTTAAAGTGTGGTTGGAAAATACATTAAAGTTTGGACACATAAAAGACCAACAGAATCGATGATAATATTAAAACGGATCTGAAGAGATACAAGAGCTGACTTCGAGTGGCTGGTGTGCTGTGGTGGAAATCTGGTAATGGCGATGTTAATTCTCTTCAGGTTCTTATAGAAATTAACTAGTTTTGTCACTTTCTTAAAACGAATAAGCACTTGAGTTTACAACACTATTTCTGCTCTTACAAGTTTAAGGGCCATGACACGCTTACATTTCATTACGTGAATAATTTTTATCTCTACGGTTCCACCAGTCTCAAGAAATTGCGTGCGTAACCGAATCTTTAAAGTGTTTCTGAGTTCAGAACTCCTTATCGGAATGACACATAAGAAGGATTTATCTCAGTTTCCTGAAATTAGTAATTTGCCACCTGTTTTTCGGATAAGGGCGGAATAATCTGAAACGTGCTTCACACTAAATTATGAAGATTCTTTTTCAAATATCACAACATTCTGCCTAGATAGGCCGCACGCGAATCTGCTTTTACCGGCCCAAGGACACGACAAAGTGCTTGTAAAAGTAACTAAGATATATTTCTCCCTCACTCAAGATTTCTGAACCTTTGTGTATTTCATTTTCTTTACACCCTAAAGAAAAATTACTCGGCCTCCTTATAAGACGCTTTCCACCTGGCAAAACTACAGACAAACTACTGAATAGATGTATGGCTGAACTCTTAAATGTGAAACTCAGACGTAACAAGAGATGATGGCTGTCTTCTGATATGTTTCGGTATGTAGTCTGGTATGAATTTTCCGACGTTTCAGAGGCACATGCTGCCTCCATTATCAGGCGAAGAGAAAGCTATGCGCGATAAATTTTGACTACTTTTAAGCGTAACACATCCCAAACGTTGGCCAAATTCTACCATACTATACGTAGTAGCATCCCAGAATACAATAATCTTTGTACTCGTGAGAACAAGAAATCTCATCTATAGTAACAACTGTCACTAATACAGGTCCTATTAAATAACTAATTAACTACAGTTCTTCATGAAAAACTAATAGTTTCCCAAGTAGTAAAAAAAATACTCTATTTTGCATGGAATCCGAAAGTTAGTTATTAAACAGCTACCAGCAAGAAGCCTAATACAGTCTTTTGTTGGGCCATTTTCTGCATAACATAATTCTGTACAAACTTCTCCTCTTCATTATCCAAGCTATCAAACTATTTGCCCAACTCATTGCAAGTTGACTACTACAGCTGGTTACTCTAGATATATTTAAGTGCTTGAGAACGTCAGAAAAGCCAGTTAGAGACAAGCACCAGAAAATAAAGCAACATAAAACAATACAGTAAAATGCAATAACAACTTCAGACAACACAAGAAAAGGAACCACATAAATAAAAGTTATCTTCAATATTAGTACCAGCATATATGTGTGTTATGCACAAATTATTATAATCGTTTCTACGATAACTTTATTGAGGAATTCAAATAAATATATTCTTAAATATTTGTAACCGTTGCCATAGTAACGTTAGTTTCGCATTACTGCCTTCTATTTCGGACTAACAGCTGTAAAAGTTCCATATTTGTTTCAGTGTTTTAATATTAACCCCTGAAAGGCCTTGTTGAAAATGGAAGGATAATATTAAAATATATCTTAAAACACATGATGTGTACAGTATTATAAAACTCAGGACAGGGACGAATGACAGGCTTTTGTGAACACGGTAATGAACGATATTTATCTATAAAGGGCAAAACATTTCTTGACCAAATGCAGTTCAGTAAGTATAGCATTCAAATAAGAGGATGGTCGGAACGAATGTATAAGGACGCGGCTTTGGACTGTTTTAAAATCATTATGCAGAAACTGAAGTCATAGCAGTCTATCTTCGGGCCGAGAAAAAAGCAGGGTCGATGGACAGTGAGGTTTTGTAGAAACACACTGCTTCAGGGTGGACGATAATCGCTCTTGAGCTGTTTTACGTTGAAACAGACGTTCGTAGATTGAAATTTCAAGTGACAGGATGTCAGCTTGACGTTATGCGTTGTTGCAGAAGCGGCAGCCGAGATTCTGGGAGCGCCGGACCTGCATATTAAGAGCGGCAGCAAACTACGGCTTGTCTGCACACTTCGCCAGAGCACGGAGGCGCCCGTGTACGTGTTCTGGTATCACGAGGACCATATGATCAACTACGACAAGGACCGCGGCGTGGAGGTACGCAACGACCGCTCCAGCAGTGTTCTCGTCGTGGCTGAGGCGCAGAAGAGTGACTCTGGTAATTACTCATGCGTGCCATCCAACGCGCGACCTGCCAGCATCAATGTTCACGTACTCAACGGTAAGACCATCAACTCTTTACCATCCACGGAATCCGGCTAACACTTAAAGACGATCGGTAACTATATGTACCATCGGCTTTGACAACCGGTAATGCTGGATCTTGTATCTGTGGGCTTTGTTCGGTTATCATCGTAAACATCGATTATTTCCTTAAACACCACCAACAAGCTGATCTTTTTTAATGGTGTAGTGCTGTGTTTTCTTCGCGGTACGGACTGAATTATTAAATACTGTTTCAAAATAGCTTTCGTTTCTCAAAGGGTTAATAACATTCAATATCAATAAAATAAGCATAATATATACATATTTCTTACTTGCTGGTATTCTACTATGTTTTGTATCCAATCGTAGTTTTTTTGACACTTCTTTGCGAGTCGTACATAGAATGAATACGTTGAGGGTTTGTCTGTCAGCAGGTTTAACCTTTGAAACCGTGGACACTTTTTGATTAATTTTGGTGTTTGCATCGCAAACTGAAATATATTGGACAAATTTAATTGTGCTGCCTTCCGGCATTATTAAACCTCAAATTTACTTATGTACAAATTTAACTACAATTTCCCAAAATGAGACATAGGTATAATAATAAGCTGTAATTAAATCTCATTAAAACCTAGAACCCTTGTCCGAAATATATTTCGAACTGGTAAATATTTAGAGGAAAAGAAGGAAAAATACTTTTACTTTCTTTTGTTTGCGCATGATTCCGACCTTAGTTAGCTTTTTGGTTGGTTAGTTGATTAGTTTTACATCCACACTGAAAGCCGTACAAGAATTGTCTTTATCAAGTTCAACAAAATTCTTCCAACATAACAAGAAGAAAACGAAATATGGGACGACCTTACAAAAGATGTGTGTTTGAAAGATAAAATACACATAGGAGATGAGTAAATTAGATGAGATTAGATTTTACTAAAACAATTACTCCAATTTCTATTTTAAAGACAAATGATCTGAAATTCTGCACGAATATTGTCCTGTATATTCAAGAAATAAATACGTATTTTACTACACTTGAGAAATATCTAAGTACTTATCTAATTTTCTTATAAATTTATCAGGTTCTATTATTGCATGCTGTGTCTCAGGAGAGGAAATTGTCTTAAAGCACAGAATCTAAAATTATCTAATTGTTCTATAACTTCCCCAACTCCATAACCATTTCTCATACCTATTCATATTGGCCTCTCCAAATCTCGTTTCGCTAAACCAACAGCTACGGTTACACGCAAGGTGTAAGCGTAATTTAGTTCCCAGTCTCTGGTTCAGGAAGCCTGTACTGATGGAGATTATAACTTATAAACCAGTGGACAGGTTCATTTAGGACGACAACAAACGTCAAGACAGTCGAGTTGTGGAGGTGAGGAATCTTCCGTCTAGAACTAATAAGTTACGTCCGACCAATTACGCGGAGATAAACTTCGCACGAAGTAAGAGACTTAATTGTAATTTCATTTCCAAGGCTTCGTGGAAATAAAGTTTCTGCTTGGGAAATCTAGCATCGTGTTAGTCTATCAGAGCGTGTGCCCATCCAATGATTCAGTTAACTAGACTATTTTTCGTGAAAATCGGTACGAACAGCAAAAATCTGAGGCAATGTTATCTTGGAAATTTTAAGTTCATTACCATACACAAATTTCAATATGGTGACCATGTTATCTCCGGGAGGAACCATAGCGAGTCTATTCTTGAGGCATCATGACACTCGTTGAAAAAAATTGTTTTAATTCGGTAACTACTTAATTGTATAATTGGAAGACAGGGTAATATTAAAAAATATGGTAGAAATGGCTGCTCTTCTGTATATGTTGATAATCCTTAAGCTTCCACAGACGATGGGTAACTTACTATATGATGCAATTAACATTTCAAATTATCATTTCTGAGTAATTTATATATAAAAATTATTTTAAAAGCAAAACTACGCTACAATATAAACAGGTCGGGGCCTTGACTCTATAGTAATGAGTCTTTCTAGAAAATATAATTAGTTCATAATCGCCTAAATATTTATCATTATGTCAATTCATGACCAATTATGTTTTTGACATTAAGTTATGTAACTTACCGTAAAACATAAGATTACTCTCGTATAAATTATCCAGCTACAGAATGCAAGGACGTTCATTTGAAAGCTGATAAAGTAGTTTTTCAACTGGTTAAGAATTTTCCTTCTGTAGAGAACACGAACTTCCATCACCGTGTTAACGGAAGCCCGTCACTGGACCCTACCCAGAGCCAAATAAGTCTTAATCCACTCTTAAAACATCAACGCCTACTTCCCCAAATTTTTCTTCAATTTTTTCTAAAAATTTGTGTGAATCGGTCTTGTGTGCTACACGTTCTGTCCATCTCCCGCGAACTAACTCAAAAATCTTAACACAATTACGTGATCACTACCAATTTAAAACTCCTAACTGTGTGATATTCTGTATTTCCTTATTAGTCCCTCCCTCTTAGATAAAGTATTACAAGCTTAATATATAGTCCTAAAATGTTTGAAAAATTATGACTACATAATGGGACTTTCATTACATATTTACATTTGTGCCATTGTAGTTTACAAGCTAACATTTAAAGAGAAAAACGGATCTCAGTTTAGGCATTTTATTAAAATATCATTAATAACTGCAAACTGTTTCTATGTTAATGGACCTTTGAACAAAATGTATTAAAAATCCTGAATAGGAATATTGTATTTATTTTCAAAATAGTAACCAGAACGAATTTCGTTTGAAAAACGCAGGTATAAACACAGCAAATCAAATCTGTGTTAGAGAGTTCTATTGTTTGACGTCGTCTTTTATTTCAAATATGAGGATTATGGATTCGACCGAATTTCGTTTTCAAATTCCGAGTTATTATCCAGACGTAAATGTGTATTATGAAAATATTTGGCTGTACGTAATACTTTACAGATGCTAACTCTGACCATATCGATTGTTTATTTTTCATTACAATGTCGTTATCAGATCAAAAATTAACAGAAAATTAAAACGGATGTTTGCATCGTAGTTTATTTAACAGTATTGTATCACATACATTGACTATATTTTAAATAACTGAAATTAGGAATGAAAGGATAGTCACAAATGGCGAAGTTGGCCAGACTGTATCAACTGGAGTGACAATTTATTGTTCAGCGAATGTAAAATTCTGGTAACTTATGTTAGATTGTAGTTTTTGGGCAGAACAATGTTGGTGGATCATGAAACAGAGATTAATATTTTGCCAATAAAATGCTAGGAAATCCTTAGTTATTCAGACTAAAGTGTATGACGGCCTTAAATATTTTTCTACAGTTGACTGCAAGATTATGAGAACTAGACTGTAACATATTACTATTACTTTTATTTTATAGTTATTTACATTGTGCTGTGCTTGTATAATATCTTTTAACCTATGTAGGCGAATAAAATAATTATGCAAGAAACACGCGTTTCGTTTTTATGTGTCGCTTTACTCCGAAACGTCGTTCAGACACGTACGACGACCGAGACGCGCTCAGAAAGTCACACAGCCTGAACTGTCCATTATTTATGTCTGATTTTCACCAAAACTGAATTGTGTCGACGAAATACTTAAATGAAATTCCTAGTATCGATACAGATTTATGATAATAATTTCAGCGGTTGTCGAATTGTTACATGCGGACAGAAATTGCGTAGCTAGATTGGGAATTCTTGCAACTTCGTTATAAACACGCCTAGAATTATGATCAGGAATGTAATTAATTCTCGAGTATTAAGGCGCCAATAAGCCTACAGCGTGACGAGCCAGACCGCTTAAAATAATCCGCTTGAATTATGGAATTTCGGTTAGGAACCCATCAACCGAATTACCACTACCTTCGTTTTTGTGTCCACTCTAAAAATTGTGCATAAATGGTTCCCGTAGGAACAGACACCGATTATTCTATGTGAACGCGCGCATGGTATGAGTTACACTGGCGAAGAGTTAAAAATATCTGACCCAACTGAAATACGAGACGGAAGTCATTATGTTTCAAACGGCCGCTTGTAATTTACGGCGAAATAGGCGGTAAAGCCAAGTATACTTCCATTTTGTACTAATAAAAGTGAGAGATTCGATATCAATATCTCGACGAGAGACACTGCAGAGATAAAATACCATCAAACCAAGTCTCATCTAGTTGTGACATAAAAGTAAACATTTTAGAAGTTCAGTCGCTTTAAATTTATTACATTTTCGACAAAATCAAGTATGAAAATAAATCTTAACAGCTTTTTAACGATGCTGTTAAACCGCATTAGTTACCATGCGAGTATAACATGGAACATTAAACATTAACCCACGAACTGAAAATAATTCAAATGAAATTTGAGGTTTTCACGGCAGATAGCATGATGATTATATTCTATACTAAGGTAATAGTCTAATCAGAAACGTCCCTGATCGGGCCACTCCCCCATCCTTCTCTTCCTCTAACCCTATATTCATCCCTCTTCTTACCAACATCGCTAATTTAGCCCTGAAGATGGAAAAAATATATTCCTCCGAAACGTTTCCATCTACAAACAAGTACACATGGCGTCAAAAAAAGACCAACATCATCATAAAAGAAACATTTAAAGGTACTCTTCTAGTAATTACATGAATAAACTGAGGAAAAACACGAAACATAATAGTAAGCGTGGCTGTGTTCCGGTGAATACTCTAAGCGGAACAGTATTAATAACCACTATACCATGAAATTCGACGAAATGGACAGGGAACTTTGTACAATGTCGGAATTTTGCAGGTGAGAGGGGGTTCAGAACTTTTATATAACATCAATATGTGACATGTACTGGACCGTGATTTATGTTACATCATAAATTCATCTCGCATCCTCTTCGGTCATATTTTACTCATTTGTTTTTATCAACGGTTAGTGTGTTCTTTTTTTGAGTTCATTATCCAAATGGATATCAATGGACGTCATACTTCCATTTGTATCCGAACGATGGATTATCCTTGATATTAAAATAAGTCTGGAGAGTAAATTGCGTTTCGGATGTAGGACATTACCCTCCAATATTAAAAGAGGTCTCTCAGGACGTCTGTAATCGCTTAATAGCTTTCTGATTCTGACACGTCAAAATGCTTAATGAACTGAAATACCAAGTTCCTTTAAACACTTAAATTATGTTTACATACCTTCGGTTTATTTGTGCAGGACTTTGGCCTATAAACGTTACAACACAAAAGAATAGCTTGCAGGTTTTGTGCACGGCTTTGGAAATGCATAACAGCATATTGCCTATCGAAGACTATGAACCAGTTTTGGGAATAAATTAATTAAACGATTAAAAGATAATTTAAACTATTTTACTGAGTGAATTTAACTTAATACGTTCCGTTATCTACAAGAAGGCCTCCCTCTGTTTGTTCTCACTGCATTTTTATCCATTAAACCCCCTCCCTCAGTACAGGGGAATTTCAAAAATTCTTACGAAGGCACAGTTAAGGAAAGATTTGAGTTTTTAATGGCGGTGATGATGATAATATTACTATTCTCGATTTTGGCGCCATGTATACTCAGTAGATACAAACGTTTCGGAGGAATAAACTTTTGTCATCTTCAGGGCTAAAATGGCGATGCTTTGAAGTAGAGGGATTTATATAGGGTTAATGAATAGAAGGCTGAAGGAGCGGGCCAATCAGGGACGAGGAATGAGAGAAGAGCTCCTAGTCCAGTTCGCCATTTCAACCCTGAAGAATGAGATTATGTTTCTCCGAAAAGTTGGAATTCCACTATGATGGCGCCAAAGCCCTGAAGAAGAATGACAACGTAAATTAAGATCCTCAGAATGGTGAATCAAACAATCAAAAGGCCTTTGCCATCATACTAAAAATATTTAATAAAGAGAGTGTAATTCGAATCCTCAAGCCCAGTGTTATTGGAAAATATAACGGCGCACGGATCGGCAAGGTAGCTAGCTACTACATTTAATTTCAAGATGACATTGGACAAAAAGCAAAGGCTTTGAGAATTACATAAAAGAGGCCAGATTTATTATTTCCGGCACGGAGTCCTGCATGTAAATTAGCTTCCCGATGTTGCAAGCCGCCGCGCTGTTGGTAAAGGAGGAAGGCAGGATACCATAATAGCAAATGAGATTCCATAATAGACTTCCTGAACGAACTAAGTCTTGAGAATGCATCTTAAGACTCACAGACGAGTGAGCGCTTTCTTTTTATCCTACCGACGCGTAAAATCCTCATGAACACAAACACACACAGACACGCACGCACGTTTCTAAAATCTGCTAATGCTGAAGTGGAATGTCGCAGTCGAAAGGTTCGCATGTCCTCGTATTTGAAAAGGCCCGAGTTCGAATTATGCCTATCCTGAAGGTTTTAGTGGTTGTATTAAATTGTCATACTCAAAATATATCAAAATATGCAACAATCCCTTCATTTTACATGCTTTTGATTCATCATTCACAAATGCCTTGACTTTTATAGCAATTAAATGTTCATTGCGATGTTTATAACAGCCTGTGACTGTACACTATCGTTAGATACAGTTGAATCCAGTCCACTACTACGTATCCATTTTAATATTATACTCCCATCTAATACCTGATCTTCTAAGCGGTCTCTTTCCTTCTGGTTTTCCTACTATAATTATTATCGGAGCAAACACACGATAACTTTCGTACTTATACAGGAAGAGTCCTTAATTGCTTGTTATCGGACTGTCAACTTTTGAAAAGGACTCTGATCCAGTATTTGAGTGTTAGAAAGACTTTTCTAATGTTCATTCGTTTTGACCGTTATGTGACAAAATTCTTTTAATTATACGACTAAATGTTTTATATTTTGAAGTATCAAAATTCCTAATATGATTTTCAATTAGGCCTATTCTATAAATTCGAAATCATTTTCCGAACGTCGCTATAACTGAGTGAAGTAACTTTGGGTCCCCAAAAAAGGCTGGACAGGTCTGGATATGCTAATTTATACTCAAATGTTAATGAAAACATCATCTTTGGCTTCTGCTTGTGCTTGTCATTTGGTTGGAGGCTCAATGTCAGTCAACACGTCTTACGAAGCTGAAGCTATTGCAATTAAGGTACGAGGAAAGCTTGTTACTGCTGGTTTTTTGTGCGTGAAATGAAAAGCCCTCACCTAAACACTTTGTTTTTTACGTAGCCAGTTCCGCTGTTTTCCGCAGTCTCTTAAAATTATTATCAAAACACTGACATTCAAGTATTAGAAGTACAAGCAAAAGAAAAAAAACGAGTGTATTTTACGACTGTTTTTTTTATAGACGGAAGCGATATATGCCGGAATAATGTTACCACTCTGATGAATGCAGGTTTAAACTATAAGATAGCAATACTGATTAAAAATGACCCATTTTAGACTAATGTGATTTTTCCCAACAGCCCTTCAATTGTCAATTTGTTATACATCAGCGAATGTTGGGTTTGGTTTCTTGGCAGGTTCCAACTAAAACTTCTGAAAGAAGAAGTCCTTTCAAGCTTCCGGCAGCCCACACTGGACATAGTCTAGGCAACTGTGTTGTCCAGGACTTTTTAGACTTAATGCAGACAATAGAGAAAAAATGTGGGCATAAATTTATAGCGCTAACACCTTCTACATTCCCACCGAATCTATCACTTCCTTATCGATAGTACTAGGTTCAAATCGCAAATATACTACTAGGATTATGTTCGTTTATTTTGGTTTATCCTGGGAAATACTACATTTATTTCTATATCAGAATTTAAAATCACCATTATCATTCGGCGCTATATAATTTGTGCAACTGAATGAGAGTTTTCGTATACATTTATCTTCTTGTTTCAGGCGAGAAGCCAGCGGCAATGCAACATGGGAGTAGAAGTTCGGCTCGCCGTTCAGTCCACACCGCACTGCCTCTTTGTACGAGCATGTGCGTCATACTTCTCTGGTCGACGCTAAAAGGCGTGTCGACCGATACTCTAGGACTCCCGACGCCAGTAACGACGACTATCAGATGAGATATATCACGACGTTTCAAAAAGTGCTTCATACGTGACGAACACATCTCTCGGGCTTCAGAGTAAACTTCAGTGCTTATCTGTCCTTCGTGATCAAGGTATCCATCAGATGTGTCATGTCCCACAGACAGTTCTGATACCCATGGGTCTCTTAGATCGTGGGGCATGTGAACGGAGCTCCAGACTGGATTTCATACTTCCAAAAATTCTTTATATATTCCTTATTTTATAAATAATAACTGTAAGTTCACGTTTAAAATTAACTACTTGGGACTGGAAATCAGAATATCCTAAGCAGCCCTACTGAATACTGTTTATGATACCAATATTCGTTGCCAAATGTGGAATAAACGCTGTATTACATTCTCCAACGTTCGAAACAGAACGGATAAGAAAGTACATATTTTGGTATCGTCTGATACTTCGCTATGGTGTTTGAACCCTTGAAGGGGCTGGAAATATGGACGTTTCCTTGAAATTAATATTCAGTAAAAATAATTGAATACTTCAATTACCTGCAGGTTCTTGAGAATATTTTGATTTATTAAATGCTTCACAAAGTTCCTATTGGATAACGGCAGTGTATTAAGAACATACAGCATCACAATATCATTAAACAAACCAGAATATCCATGAACGTTTGCCAAGATGGACTACACGATGCGGGATGGCTCTGTGCAATTAGGCTAAGCTCACGAGCAGAAATATAAGATACGAGCCGGAGTAAATAGAGGCCTAAATTTTTCTGTGAAGACAAAAAGCAAGTTATTGATTTGTATAGAATTTTTTTTCAGTGACGTGTCGTTTAACTGATCCATAAGTCTAATATTGGACTTTTATTCACGTATTAATTTATAAATGTTTAAAAACAGACGGCACTTCGTAAGCTGGCTCTGCTTCCGTTATTTACAGGACCCAACGGACAAGGCTGTATGGATTTTCCTGATGGTGAAAGCCGAGTCAGATTCCGAAACGTCTTACGATTTTAATTTTTTTTTAACTTCATAAACGGAGCAAAATGCCCAAGTACATTCTTGAGTTCAATAAATTACTGGATTTTGTCTCTACACATAATATTTTAAAATCCATTATAATGACCTGATAACCCAAACGTCCTTTTTGACATCTGTTAAATTTGCTCCAAGAAAGATTTTTTTCAATATAAAAAATGAGCAGACAGGAATTAAATACGTTCACGCTTCAAACTATGTCTACATTCATTTTATGATCACAAATTACAAATGTCTGCGTTATTTTTCTTGTGAATGTTACGTACGCTTATAATACGCTAACATTTCTCCTATTAGATTATCTTAATTAATTTTAAACATTTTCTGATGTGGCGCATTAACATGTACGGTTGTTGGTGTCACGATGAGATTTCTAACATACAAATTTGGTAGAATGCATACGAGAATCCCCGGACGTTTACAGACTTGCATACAATTTTGAGCTAAGATTGTTAGCAGTACAATTCACATCGTCTGAAGAACAGTTGACAGAAGACTGAGCCTTTGTTCATGTTCTCTACTGGGAGTCAGGCAACAGAGACATAACAAGAAGTAGAATGTATCGGCTTACAAACGGAAAGAAGGCCAAAGAATCAAATGCAGACGTAAAGCGATGGTCACGTGTTTCGTGAAACGTTTCCTTTCCAGACAAATACAATCAAACAGCAGACAGTTCCATCTACGTGTTTAAGTGACCGGACAAGACGCTAACACTAGAAACAAACTCTTCTATCGTAAATTCAAATTACATTATTAAACAAGAAAATATAGATGTGACAAGAAATTTGTTGTTATACGAAGGAAAAACTAAATACCCAACTCGATGTGTTACTTCGTTATTTCGGATCAGAACCAATAATTAGAATTAGAACAAATTATTGCTTAATTGGGTACAAATATATTTTCTAAAGTATTAAATAATTATTTTCTTACGATATAAATTAAAATGTTTTTACCCAGTTTCATTAAAATTGACGATATTACTATACATATCACAAAACGTTATTTTGTTTCATATTCGCAGTAGCACCTAACATATACGACATAATTTTAATCGAGGAAAAAAAAAAGAGGAAAATTTGCTGTAATATCTGATATTTGATTATTTGTTACATTTTAAACCCATCTACTTATTGCTTTCAAAATAAAATAATAACCTTGGTTTTTAAATATAACCTCGGGTTTTGAGGTCATACCCATTCAAGTCTGATATCTCTTAGTTTCTACTCACTTAACTTGTGATTAAATGGGAATTTAAATTTGGACTCAAACCAGAAAGATCTTTAAAAATGTCCTCGTACGACATTGAACACGCAACTGTAACCAATGACTGAAGCGGAGGAAAATATAGTGTCCTGCTAAATTTGATGAAATCGTGTGCCATCCATAATACGGTGATAAAAGTTTGAGTTTCAAGGATTGTTAAGATACCTACATAAAGCGTTTCTTCTTAATCCTTCTTCCAGAACTTATAATATAAGTAGTCTTAAGTACTTAAGTTACTGAAAAGACAGTGGCTCAGCCTGCAATGCCAGACGTTACAAATGCATGGTAATAAGACTGAACGTAAGTACCACGAAATGGGTCTAATTGCAGACCATGAATCTACTTTTATATATGCTGTTAATTTAATTTTTCTAATTCATTAAAAAAAGTAGATGGATCGTAAGTTGAGTCGGCCAAGGACAGGACAGGAGAAACTTTCGTAAATTTCGTGTTTCTTGTCATTTACAGGGACAAGGGACATTCCTAATTAACCCCAAGAGAAATTACATCAATATCCTTAATATTTCAATTTGTTATTGGCTGCTTATATCAATAAAAATGTCCGATAATAACATTATTATTAATATTATTATATTTGTCAATATCAATAAAATGTGCGGGTATAAATTCATGGTGGCACTTTATTACTTTGAAGTGAATTCCGTGCTTTTGTTAATCCTGCATCTCCCACAGTATCATGAATTATACCTCTCATTTTTGATCTGTTTTTTTCCAGATAGGTTCATTTTTTACAAATTATTTTCTACAGGAGTTTCTTAGGTACACTACACGTAGGTATTGGTCCGTTTAGCGGAGACCTGCAAAAGACGATACGTCGCTCAGGTGGTAATATACTCTCCGTATTTTATGGAGCCCGACTGTTCATTACTGTGTTCACAACAGCCAGCCACTAAGATTCTATCCTAAAACAAGATAATATAGGCCACACCCATCCACCAATGCGTTTCACACCTGATCCCTTCTTTTCTTTTTCAGGCTGAAATTCTTTATGCACCATTTATCTCCCCCGCTTTTCACACATCCCTCTCATCTGTCTCCTTATTTGATAAATTTTGGGAATAATACGAATTTTTAGGACATATTTTGTAGTTTCACCAGCCATCTACAAGTAGATTCTTGTACTCGTCAAATTTATAATTTAAATATTTCATCAAGGCTTACGATAAATTTGCCACAAATCAACTAAAAACTCATCAAACCCTGCACAATGTTAAAACCATCCAATGTTTCGGCTAACATTGCGGATGTCATTTTCAAGGCGAATATATAATTCTTGGGCCGTCTTATGCAGTCTTATATAAAGCAATAAGTAGGTATAAATTTGGATTTTATGGTCCTGATTGTTGGAACGGAACAGTGGATTGCTATTCAATAGGAGATGACCTGGTAGTTGGATAAATATCGACTTTCGACGCTGCCCATCCTCGATAATCGAAGCTGTACATCGACCTTCAGCCGCAGAAACCCAAGGACAATAATTAAGTACATGAACTAGAGAGGGCTCAAATCGCTCTGAGGCCTTATCACTACACAAAAGACAAACTCTTTTCGAAAAGTTGGAAAAAAAAGTTGGGAATTTGATCGTGTCCCGTGACAATCACGACAGAAGTATTTGACCACAACGCCGTGTAGAATTGGGGGAACTAGATACCAATGTTTCGGAGGGATATATTGTTTCCTTCTTCAGAGAGGATAGTCAGCCTCTGGATCGAGATTCGAACCTGAGCCATTCAGAACACTAAGCAGAAGTTGCAGAGCCGTTCGGTCTGCATAATATAACCGATGTTTAAGCCTCACATCAATGACAAGTATGAAATCAGTAAACTGATAAACAATAGACATGCGCCCCATTTACAAACAATAAACCGTACGCGAACTTAAGATAAAGGAAGATCTCGCATTTGCTTTGAAAGAATTTTCCTGAAAGACGGAGTTCCATTTAATTAGCCAGTTGTATGACGGAGAATTACATTATACTGTGATCTGTAATTTGGTAATTAAATTTAAAGTGGCTTTTAAACTCCTCTCTCTGCAACCTGAAAACTTTTTAAATGAGACGATAACTTGACAGGCTGAAATAAAGTACCATCGGAATTAAGAGATTTTACAGTCTGCACAAGAAATCTACACAGATTATAAGAGTACAATAAAATCAATAACAAAAAACGATAATTCAACCAATATTTAAAAAGTAACAAACACTATATAGCATAATCCTTCTTATGAAAATAATGGCTTAGCCAGTCAAAAATTCAACATATTTTTTTGAAATCAACGATTTATTTTCATGTTCAAAAATCTAGCTACCAGTCCATATCCTAAGCCTGATTATTCTACTTCATATTCTCATATCTTACGTATTTAATAACCAGCCCAAAAGTTTGCTATAAAAATGGCTTCCCCAAAATGAAATTATTTCTTTCGAAAGCACTGAACTTTGTAGGTTAGGTTAGGTTCCAATTTATGACGGAAGCAGAGCCAGATATCGAAACGTCGTGCATTTGTACAATATTTGAATTAAATACGAAGTAAGATGTCTAAGAACATACAAAGTTTAATAACATTTTCATGAAAAACTTTTGGAGAAGAGATTGTGCATATTTAAATAAACCTGCAATGGTGGTAGTATTTAAGACCAGAAACAAAAATAAGTTCACTTATGTACAACTTCGGCCTTCGCGGATGAGTGGCATCGAATGTTCAAAGTTTAACGACGTTTCGAGTAACTTTCCAAATGCCACATTCAGGTTGAAGTGGTACATTGAATTCCATTCGCGAAAACCTAAAGTTCATTTGTGTTTCACAATTTTGTATTCCAACGCATACCGCACTTTCAATTATTATAAGCTTGCCTCAAGTTATTGATAACAAGCGCGAAATTATCTGTAAAAACATTCTCTGCAACTGATATTTACGTATAATAACATATTCGTCCTACGCACCGGTCGTTACTACAGAGCCCTTCTCCACCCACACTAGAGGCTCGCCTCTGGGTCTTTTAGAACACGTTACGGAAAAACACTTTTCTCGGAAGCATTCAATTTCCCATGTTTGCCCGAAAAGTCCCTGTTCTTTATGTGCACATAAATTTGCTTCAACCATTCAATCACGCGTTCAATAAAGAGACAAATATCATAATTATTTCAGATGCCACGCGACAAAAAAGTCTGTAATAGCATTTAAAAGAGAGGTTTGGTGCAATAATAGGAGGTCGAAGAAGGCGAACAGAATTTCTAATACCTGCGCTTGTCGAATCGTGAAAATAACTTTTATGCCAGATACAGTATTACGACAGTACGACTGAAAACTGAAATCACAATCATGTTACGACAACTACCGTTCGTAAGTTGATACCTTACAATAAAAAGACACACCTGGAGAATCATTTTAACTCGGCACGTTCCAGAACAAAACACCAATTAGCTTTCATTTTGTTTTATTATTAATTCTCTTACAGCTGAAGATTTTTTCTTGTGATGTTCCAATTTTCTATCTGCAATGTTTGTTGCTACCACGAACAACTCTTAGGAAGATTTTTTCTGATACCCACTTATTTACTTTCTTTATAATCATTCTTTCATGTGTTTATTTAACCTGTTTTCTTTTTTATTTTCTGCACTTAATTACAATTTTTCTTATTCTCACAAGTTTTCAATACTGTAGGCCTGAATAAATAATTTATCATTAAAATATTTTATTATTAATTATTAATAATAAAATATTTTCTCTACTAATCAGTGGCTGTACTGTTAAAAAATTCTTTGAGATACTAAGGAATCCTAGGAATATTGCCATTATGTCATATCCCCTCCCCTCCCCAAAAAATTGGATCCGTAATATCCCGAGTTCGAAGCATGAATGAGCAGAAGTTTTATAATCAGGAAAGATTTATTGCTTCTGAAAGAAGCAAACTGACGTACTTTATATCCGTTTCATTAATGCTAATAATAACGAAAGTCTATTACTAAAACGACATACAAAAGAATCAACTGCTTTCATCAGCAAACCTTCTGTCTGTCTCAGTGACTTAGTGACGCTACTGCGCCAGACAAACACATTCAAATAGATTCCAAAACCCCGTTCATTGCCTTGAATATGCAAGCCAGAAACTGGCTCCATAAATATTCAGTTCATTTAGAGAACACGTGAGAGAGAAATTTAGCTTCGTTTCGCCTCGAAATGACAGTCGCGCTGGAGGTAATTAGGGCCATATGATTTCCCCACTCGGCAGAACAATTAGTTTCATTAAATTAAAACAATATCTGACTTGTGGATTAAAGTCTTAAAAATTCATTCAACACAAATATCGTTCTGAGTTTTATTTCTCCATGGTTTCACGAATGAGACAATTTATTGCATGTGACTGAGAAAAATCTCCTCAAAATTTTGTTTTCGTCCGGTCACTTTTTAATTCCGCGCTACGTGGCCACCTCTAATTATACTTGTCCAAGATGACCTGTCAATATTTACGGCAATGAAACATTTTTGTATTGAAAAATAATTTTTAAAAATTGCACAAAATTCACAAAACTTCTTTTTTAAAGTAAACTAAACGTAAAGACATATTCACAGCGAAAAATCCAGATTCGTGCCAAACGCACCAACACAATACCGACTGCCTTCACAATAGGATCGTTTGCCTTTCTTGCTACCAGAGTCGCCACCGCCAGTACTTAATTTCTAAACGTTTTTCGCATCGCACAAACAGCAGACTCGTATAGTCAAGTGTAACAGACATAGGCTATTCTTTAAAGTAATTTTTTCATCTGTATTATCAAAATTCCCTTACTGTTTAGCGCTAATCCTGAATTTTTAGGATTAATATTCTTCGCCTTCGACTTTTCATGTTATACAGTCCCGCACAAGAGCAATTCTTACTTGGAAACTTAGAATTAATTATGAGGTCATTTAACAAAAATATACCCACTCTAGAGATCAAACTCCGACAACTGGGAAGAATACGTTATTATGCATGGTGACTGAGTAAATACTTGAATTTCTGAATTTTATTTCACACTCAAAGACAGGAGGTACGAAAGTTACTGAGCAGAATAAACTGATTTTGAACAGTGAAAATATACTTATTACTTTATGAGAATTAATCATGCTTGGGTTGAAGAGTCAGTACTGACATGAACTACTGAAACGACATCTTACTCAATAACTCAGTTTCAGGAGAATGAGGACTTCTTTTTGAGACATGCAGAATGTTTATGAGTCTGCAGTCTGCGTGGAATGAGATGAGATGATGGATGACTTGGAGAGATCCCGTAAGAACGAGGTTGAACGTGAGGAACGGTTAAATGAGATAAGGATGATTCAAAGAGCGTGAATCACAGTTACTCGTGTCTACGTGCCATTTCCTCAGATTTATTCTGTCTATAATTCTTATTTTGTTTAAGAAGGATATGCACTGGGAAGCACTTGATTTATTGATATATACGGGGGCTACTGATGTTATAACAAAACATTTATCGGGTAAATACATGTTAGGCTCTCTGTTTCGACCGGGAATTATATTCTAGAGAAGGGGTTCTCAACCTTTTTCGTTGCTGTATCACTAATTCTAATTTAACACATAAAATGTACCACTAA